ATACTGAGCTCTTGGTTTTGGTTATTGAACTGTGGTTATGTAAAATGTCAGATATTTGGGGGAATTTTCTCTAAATCTAAAATTATTTCAAAGTGAAAAAAAAATTAAAAAGAGCTGTTTGTTTTCTTTGAGTTGGGAATTGGAAAGGGTTTGACTGCAGGGTTCCCCTTTGATCTACATGACATTGGTTGGACAACCTGATTCACTGCCAGATGACTTGATTCACATGCGCAGCGCCCTGGTGATCCTTGGTTTTTCTTCTGTCAGTGACATCTGGTCCTCCAGGTGCCCTAGCGGCTTTCTGGCTTTTTGGAGCATGAGGGTCTAAGTGTAGTTGTGCTTCTTTCATGGTGTCTGGCTTCCAAGAGTGATTATGCCATCAGATGGGGACATGGGAGCTGTCAGTCTCTGAAGGACTGGGCCCATACATTGGCATGGTGTCACTTCCATCACATTCTGTCTGTCATAGCAGTGGTATAGTTGTCCAGATTCAGAAGAGAGGGCAGAGACCCAGCCTCTCAGTGGGAAAAGTGTCAAAGAATTGTGACCATCTTTAATCTATCACAGATATATCTATAAGTCTCACTGACTATAAACAACTGAGATAAAATTAGTAAACAGAGCATGAATTTGTTTTCGTCTGACAGAAAACTAAATTCTAATGCTGGCTTTATCACTTTGTAACAGTTGTGATATCTCTAAGCCTGTCTCTCATCTCTAAGATGATGACGAGTGGTAGAGAGGTTTGAGTGGGAAAAACATAAAATGTTGGAGATAGTAGGCAATCAGTACATGATTTAATAGTGATTGCTAGCATTTATCAGTACTTACCAAATGCAGAGTTATACGCTGTCTAATTTAATCACACCCTTTCCTGGGTGGTATATACCACTTAGGATGGTCAGAAAGGTTGGCACACCAAGCCCTCTGGCTTCGTCTGGGCTGTCCCGTCCACCTTGGCCACTTTGGATTAGATCATCTCTTGCTGCCTGTTGATCTCCACTTCTGCATACTATTTATTTCCCTGTCACTTTAACCCTAAGGAGCCAAGTGCTGATGTGCATCTGGCACTTTTGACACTACCTTTGCATAGTTTGCTCTCAGTGCCGTCAGTACAGCTTTTTGACAGCTTTTCACATAATCTGTCAGCTCCCTCTGAACCCACGAGTGCCTGCTCATCAGAGCCAAGATGTTCGGTGTCTTTGTTTCAGTGAGTGCTCAGCTGTCAACCTTTATTTATGCAGGAGGGTGGGTGCTCAATAGTTGGCCTACCAAGGAACAGTGTGATCTTCACTTTGGAGCAATTATTCAATTTGGGGCAATTACTTGTAGGTGTTCTTAAAAGCAAAGATGTTGCCAGGACTGCGACTGAATTTTGACACAGCAATATCCAGATCAGTTAAGGAACCACTGCTTCTTGCTGATCTCAATCTGTTGTCACTGGAGGAAGGTGGTGACCCTTTCTTTCCACAGCGAGCTGGATTTTTATTGCCTCATGTTCAATCAGCTCCTTTTTTGTGAGTGTTTTTAATATGGAGACAAATGATAGAATCTGGTTTTGGTAGGAGTCACATTTTTGCTCTCTCTCTATTGTCCACTCTGAAAATTTACTTGTCTTTAAGTGGAAGGAATCATTTTCATCCTTTAGAAATTAGAGGACACATTAAGGGAGACCCAAAAAAGTGATTTATTCACTGTGTTAGTAGCTTTCCATTATTAAAACTAATACTTGACACCACTAATACAGAGAAAGTTTATTTTGGCTCACATACTTTGTTTTGTAGCTTGCTACTTCTACTATCTATAAACTCTAGAATCTTATCGCCAAACTGATTAGAAGTACATATAAAATAAAATTAAAAAAAATATTTCTCTTGGGGTTGGTGAGAGTTGTTTTCAATATTTATAGATCTTAAGTTTTTAAGACATTTAAACTTTCTTGTTTCTTTTTCAAGGCTTAGTTACCTCATAGTTTGATTCTGAGATAATTGAAGAAAAGAGGCTCTTACTGTATTTTGAGGATAATTCCATAAATTGGTCTAGTTGAGTACACAGGAAAAAGAATCAACCACAGAAAATTTAGACTAGCTAAACACTTCCTATATGTATCACACCAGCATTATTTGGTGAAAATGAACATCAGGAGACTTGTGGGGTGATCCTGGCTACTGAATACATATATAATCTTGGGCTTATCACAGTCATTTTGAAAAACAAGAATCATAGTACAGTCTATGAGAATCATAGATTTCGCTGCTGCAATGGAAGCTAGGAGGTGGGGGGAATGTGGAGAAGAACGGCAGAGTTGGTGAATGTGCAGGAGTTCCCAAAGAGGAGCATGCAAGGATTTGGAAAGGAAAGGAGGAGTAGAAACCTCGTGTAGCAGGGGAGACCAGCTCAGTATGAAGATTAGAGAACTGGAGACAAGAGAGGCTTACATTTTGAGTATCAACTTAAGAAACTTGTTGGATCTAGTCCTGGTGGCAGGTTGACAAACACTGGTTGTGAGAAGTTATTGCTGCCTTGCAGTGTGATATGGGATAGAAGGACTGGGGAGCAGGGGAGCAGGTCTTCTTTATCTTGTCCTGCAAGATTTGGCAGGTGCTGCTTCTCAGATAGGGCATTGATATTCAGGATACACAAAGAATTCAAAAACTTAACACCAGAAAACCAAATAACCTGATCGATAAATGGGCAAAGAACTAAACAGACATTTCTCAAAAGTAGAAATATGAATGGTCAACAAATGTATGAAATAAAACCTGTAGCAATTAGGGAAATGCAAATTAAAACCATACTGAGATTCCACTTCACTCCAGTCAGAATGGCAATTGTCAAGACTACAAAGAACAATAAATGTTGGTGAGGCTACAGGGAAAAAGGTACACTCATACATTGTTGGTGGGACTGAAAATTAGTGCAAACACTCTGGAAAGGAGTATGGAGATGCTTCAAAAAACTAGGACTGGAACTTTCATTTGACCTAGTTATCCCACTCCTCAGTATATATTCAAAAGATTTAAAAGCAGCATGCTATAGTGTTGCAGCCACTTCAGTGTTTATATCAGCACAATTCACAATAGTCAAGCTATGGAGCCAACCTAAGTGCCCTTCAACAGATGAATGGATAAAGAAAATGTGCTATATATATACACAATGGATTATTACTCAGCCATAAAAAATAATGATATTATAGCATTTGACAGTAAATGGATGGAACTGGAGACTGTCGTGCTAAGTGAAATAGGCCAGCCCCCAGAAGTCAAAAGTCACATATTTTCTTGGATATGTGGAAGCTAATGCAAAATAAGATTTGTTCTAAAAAAAGGATAGAAGAACCATTAGTACAATGGACAAAGGGAAATTAAGGGAAGGAAAAAGGAATGGCGTAGGAAAAGACAGTAGAATGAATCTGACCTAACAGTGAATCTCACCATCATATACATCCAACAAGACACTAATTTAAAAAATATATATATAAGTAAATAGCAGATAGACCAATAAGTTATACGTAAATAGCAGATAGACTAGTAGAGCAGAGGGACAGGAACAGGGAGTGGGAGGAAGGGAGGGGAAGGGGAAGACCTGGGGACTGAATTCGGACAAATTATATTCCTTGCTTTTAAAATTATGTCAAAATGAATTCTTTTGAACCAACAACAACAACAACAAAAAGATTTGGCAGGTGGGCATCAGCTAGTGGGTGAGAACAATTTTGCTTAATTATAACCCAAGTTTCTTGATCTAGAATAGTCTTCTTTCTTTTTTCTAACTGGCAGCTTATAATCACAGCAGGTCTAGAATCATCATTTGGTCTGATAATGAACTATGTCAATTTGTTTTTGTCTCCTGTCCTGGTTATACTTACTTCCTACCATTTTTTTGTTTCTTAAAGAATTGACTGAGTAATCCCAAAATCAAAACCTTTAGTTTAACTTTGTAGCTTAGCCAACCAAATGTTTTGTGCTCATCATTCACCCTTTCTACATTGTGTCATAGTTTTAGTGGTTGAATATGAAAGGCTACCTTAGCAAATCATAGCAGGAATGCACTCTGGGATCCAATCCTAATCATCACTTCTGATTTTGGATACAAAAGGCATGGTTTATTATTTCATAATATGTTTGGTACAGCTCCGTATCCAAAAGGCATAGGTGGTATTTGTCACCACGGTGAAGAGAACACACTGAATGAATCCTATAGTTTTGGAAGCTATCAGCTCACACTTGAAAGATCTTTCTTCTCATGTGTGATGACTTACATGGTGAGAAAACAGCACCTTTCCCGGCAGCCTGTTTCTGATTCTGTCACCTTAACTGTGTAAGGTTCCCTGTCTCCTAAATGTAATTGCTCAACATCTCCTTCAGTCTTTAGGCTGAGCCCAGACCTCAGCTCCAGTGTTTCTTCCCCAGAGGCTATTTAGTTTATCCCTACTGAAATAGTGCTCTGGCTTTTTAGTAAAGAAAAGGAAAAGGAAGTCTGGCTGATAGCCCCTGATTTCCACCTCTAGTTTTTGCACTTCAAAGAAAGCACTAGGACAACAACACAACACTAAGGACGGTGTTGGAAATCCCGAGAGCATCAGGAGCATGCACTGGCTTGGTTTTATCGGCCACTGGCAGTTTAACTCTGTCACCCAGATGTCTGAACTAGGATTAGGAATTTCAATTAATGGTTTTAGACTTCTGTGTTATTTTTGCCATCTTGAGCAAGGAACTTGACTTTTGCAACCCTTAGCCACAGACAAATAACCCAGAAGTAGATAGAAGAAAAATATTAATTTTATATAAATATTAATTAAATAGCATGTAAATTTTTCACTATGAATCTCAGAGGGGCAAAATACCTTTTCAAAAAATCTTATGGTTTAATTAGTATTGTATGTGAAGATTAAAGCAATTAGGAATTTTATTAATGATGTATGGAAGTCTTGGGTAGTGCTTAATAAAACAGTTGTAGGTGTGATAGTATTAATTTTCACTGTCCCTTTTATCTTTCAGGGTTTGAACATAATCTTTCATGTTGCCTTGGCTCTCCTAAAGGTAAGTTTGTTTCAGTCTTAAATTATCAAACTACCTTAGATCTTTGCGTTTGAAACTGGAATAAGCCTTTGAGTCATTCTAGGTTCTTGTACCTAGAGAAAGATGGCTTCTCTAGGAAACTCGGATCCTCCCTCCTTCTCATCCTTTTTTATTGCTGTGCGTTTTGAGTTTAGTTTTCCTATAATCTATCTAATCCTGCTATCCCAGTACTTCTTCCTATAACCTAAAAGATGCTTTCCCTTATATGAGTTGGATAATGTGAGAAATTTGAAAGTTAAAACATGTTTTCTGTCAAAATGAAGAAAGGGTTTTTTCTTAAAATACTTCTTTCCATAATTACATCCCTGGAGTACCTAAACATACAATTGAATTATTAAAAGGATTCTATAATGCACTGACTTAGAAAGAAATGGCTACATTTCACTTTGCAGTTCTTTCCCTGATAGCTGGAAATTTATAAGATGTTTTAGAATTCTATTATAATTACCTTGTTGGATTTTATATCAACATATTAATACAGCCTTAATAGTGTGGTAACAGCAAGATGTTTGCTGCAGAGTTGATGAAAATAACCCAGACAAAGATGGCATCCTGCTGTTGAAGGCTATAATTGCCTTGTTCATAAAGGCTCAGGCTTATCCTTTCCCTGAGTCAGATGGTGGTTGAATCGGACTCTGGCAGATTTGGTTCTAATTTCAGTCCTGTTGGATGACCTTGGGCAAATTACTCTAAGTGCTCCGAACCTGGGTTTTGAAATAATAATAAAAATTAATTTATGGCATTGTTATAATAATTCAGGTAGTATATAAAAGTTCTTTATATAATGTCTAGAAAATCTTACTGCCTAATAAATGTTAGCTGTCATGATAATGATTAATATTGTCATTTACGAAGTACTTAGAATATGTTCCTAGATCCACCATTATTATTTGGAATCCCTCAAAAGTTTTCTTGGGAGGGTTTCTTGACAGATTTAGAGAGCTTTGATAGATAACCTCTACACACCTTGATTCTAAACAAAGCATGAAATAACATGGGTCCTCTGAAACTCTAGAAGCAGATTGCTGCTTGTGATTCACAAGCACGTGCTTTTTGTGAAGTTCATAAAATGTGCTTTTTTCATTAAATCATTTTATGTTTGTATATGGACAGTTCTTTTGCGGGGGCAGTGCGTGGTACCAGGGATTGAGCTCAGGAGCACTAAACCACTGAGCTACATCCCCAGCTCAATTTTGTATTTTATTAGAGACAGGGTCTTACTGAGTTGCTTAGCATCTTGCCTTTGCTAAGGCTGGCTTTAAATTCATGATCCTCCTGAGCTACTGGGATTACAGGTGTGCACCACTGCACCCAGTGTATATGGACAATTTTTATGCCAAAATTACTATAGAAGTTAGAAAAGATATTTGAAATTTTATTTTAAATAAAATAACACAAACATATTTGCTTTTATCTTTTAATGAAGTCATGAATCTTGATCTTGAATTTTTGTCATTAAAACAAATCAAAACCACTTAGTTGGGGGGTGATGGCACATTCCTGTAATCCTAGCTGCTTGGGAGGCTGAGCCAGAAGCATTGCAAATTTGAGGCCAGCCTCAGCAACTTAATGAGGCCCTAAGCTGCTTAGTGAGACCCTATCTTAAAATAAAAAATTTAACAAAGGAGGCTGGTGTTGTAGCTTATTGGTAGAGCACTTGCCTAGCATGTTGAGGCAGTGGGTTCGATTCTCAGCAACACATAAAAATAAATAAATAAAATAAAGGTATTGTGTCCATCTACAACTAAAAATATTTTTTAAAAATTTTTAAAAGGGCTGGGGATGTGGCTTAGTGGTGAAGAGCCCCTGGGTTCAGTCACCAGTACCAAAACCAAAACCAAAACCAAAACAAATCACTTTCCAACGTGTCCTCTCAACAGACAGGGCTAGAATAAGATCTTTATAGACTTAATCAATTAAAGCATTATGTAATTCAGACTAAATGCAATACTACATTCTAAACAAGTATAAGGAAGTTCAACAAAGTTCTGATTTTCCTATCATATCTAATTTTCTTTTTAAGTCTTGGACATTTCATCTTTCCCAAGTTACCTTTCCCATACTTTTGGTGGCCTGTCCACTGGTGTTTTCAACACATGCTCATTAGTCTTTTAGGTAACCCAGGCCTACCCCTGTGGATATCAGAACTTTATTTGTCAGCCCAATACTATAGATGTTAATTGTCTTCCTGGTTAACATGTTTACTTTTCTGTATTATGGCCATTTATTTCTGAGCTTGTTAACCTAGACGTGGTTGGGCAGAGGTCATTCTTTGGTCACTGTGCAGAAAAGCTTTTTATATCTTTAGCAATATTTAGGCAGTCTTCAAACATCATCTCTGAGAATTTGGCTAGTTAGAAAAGATAGAAGGAGAGTGTTTTTCACCAGTAGTGACTGATATTTTTTATCTGCTTTGTATAAATCCTGAAACTGACTCTTCATGGAGACTGTATATATAGGGCTAAATTGAAGTATATGTCATTGATCTGATTGTCCCCACCTGGCAGAAAGAATAACAGAATGTATATGACAGTAGAATCTTAATAGGGATTGCATTCAATCTCTCAATCAGTTGAGGAATGTGCAACTTAATATTGAGTCTTCCAATCTATGAAAACAGAAAGTTCTCATTTATTTAGGTCTTTAATTTCTCTCCATAATATTTATAGTTTTCAGTGTACAAAAGACTTGCCCTTCTTTTTAAATTTGTTTTGAAATATTTTGTTGATGCTATTGTGAATGGGATTATTTTCTTAATCTAACTTTTCTTCTTAATTGCTAATATCTAAAAATGAATTTGCTCTTTCTAAATTGGTCTTGTATTCCACAACCTTGCTGAACTCATTTTTAGTCATTTTACATGTGGGGGGATCTTAGGATATAACCTGTGTGTATGCAGATTATATTGAGCTATGTCCTCCTACAGAGGTAATTTGACTCCTTCCTGTCTAACCTAGGGGGCTCACTTTCTAGAAGTGGCCGCAGCAAAATCCCATCTTGTTCCTCATCGCGTTTGCCTTCTTTCAGGAAAATTCGTTCCTCACACTCCATTTCTGGATTGCCATGGCCACCGCTGTGGCCATGACTCTCTGCTGCCACAGTTGGCCATAGTCTGACCACCTCTGTTTACTAAGGATCAAATTGCCTCACATGAGGAGTAGAAAGCCTTTTCCATAGTCTGAGAAAGCTTCCTGTGCAGTTTTTTAATTTGTCATCACCGTGATTCGGAGTGGCTCATGGGAAACTTTATTATACAGCACTTTATTATTTTTTTAAAGATATTTTGTGCATATCATATTTGTTTGCTTACTTTTGAATTTTTTTCCCCTCAAAATTGTCCTGTCCATTCCATTTACTTCAGTGTTCAGCTTTTTTTTTTTTTTTGGGGGGGGGTTCACAAACGGGGAGAAGAGGAATGGAGAAAAGAGGCTTCACAGAGAATCAAAAAATAATAATAATCCAGAATTAGGACCTATTTATTAGAGTTGAAAAACCAGTTATTTGTTTAGCAGCAGGCTGATTAGGTAAGTGGTTCCTTGTCCTTCTGAGGGACGACTCCCCCTTCCTTCTCTGCCATCATGGAAAAGAAGGACTAACTTGGGCTCTAGCGTCTCCACCTGCCACTGTCCCTGCAGGACTTGGGGTCCCGCAAGGCAAAAGGGGAAGTGGAAAACCACATACCTGAGACTGGAAAGGGAACATTAGCTCCCTTGGCATCTGACACACCCACTGAGCTCAAAGGTCTAGTTTCTGTGCTTGCAGATGGTGACATAAGGAAGGACTAAAGTTAGGGATGTCATTTCTGCAGTCAACGACCAGGTTAGAAGTCTGAAGACCTGAACAGAATCTGTTTGGAGATGGTTTCTGCACAGTTTTATACTAGCCTGAAGAATGCCTGCTGTCCTGTTGGTGGCAGTAAAACTCCACTCCTCGATATTGTGGAAATGGTTTGTCCCAGGGTGCACCTAGAGTTCTGTGACTTGGACGTTCCTGTCTTCTGGTTCCTGCCCCAACATCATTTGTTGTCTGAGTTGTTTGTTTTTAGCCTTGCTCTGGTGCCCCTTCAGTTTGATAATAGGTTAGTTTCAGGCGCTGTCTAGTAAATGCTAAAGCCAACGCAAATGCAGGGCTTCTAGTTCTCTATAGTGAATACTCAAGAAAGTTTAAAGTTTCAGAAATGGTGTATTTAATGAGTTAGAGGTCTATATTAAAAATCTACCATCACAGTACCAATGCATACGTTAAATCATACCTAAATTTGTTGAAGCAATTTCTCATTATTTGTTTCTCATGAGACAGTCCAGAACTCCAGGAACAAAAGATAGCTGAATAAACACATCATGTTCCAGGTAGTCAGTAATTATTTTGAAGTTAATGTACCTTAAGAAGCATAAGGTCATTTGACATAGATGAGAATAATAATCTGATGTCCTCTTTGCCCTGTTTTTATGATCAAAATAAGCACTCAGCATGAACTCATTCAAGGTTTCATTGCCTTTCTTAAAAATCTTTATCCTCATCCTCCTCTGCTTTGCTCCTGCCTTTAGCAAAGGTGTGTTCTGCATTCACTCCAAGGCTGACTTCCCACCTGTGTCCTTGACCCCACCTTTCCTGCCTGCCTTTGGAGAAGACTGTGTTGGTTGGTTGGTTGGTTTACTTACTCAACAGATGTTCTGAGAGTGCCTCCTGTTTCCAGGTTCTGGGCTGGGTGTGGGGATACAGAGACCACATTTGATGTCCTGCAGTTGTCCTGGACCTAAAGGAGAAGGAAGAAAGGTGGATAGGATTCAGTGGGATTGGTCCTGGGGCTTAAAGGGGTGCTTCAGAAGCCAAAAGGCAGGGTGCCATTTTCATTCTGGGAAAACCAGGGAAGATTTTCCAAAGAGGGCAACTAAACGGAGAAAGGAATTTCAGGCAGGTGAAATACATGCGAAAGAATAGAGACACAGGGGCAAGTCCTT